TTTTGCTATTTTTTTCAGAGAGAGAAAAATATAAATGAGCTGTGAAGCTCGTGTTGTTCTGAACTCTTTCTCTCCTCTTTCACCGATGAGTTCATCAAACAAAATTCCACAAGAAACAAATGTTATTATGAGATTAGCAGAATGAATGCCAGAGTTCAGATACTAAATATTTTTTTTAAAAAAACAGTGGGCTTAATGACGTGAAGGAAGTTGTAGTTTAAACATCAAGGTCAATTATTTCGTTAAATATTATTTAAAAGTTACTTGCCTTGAAACAAAACCAGAGCTATCCATTTCCCAAAAATGCAAACAGATTATTCTGCCCCTGTTTGTCAGCTTCACTAGATAACTTCTATTTGATCTTCAAATGAAAACAATTTCTGTTTCAGATTTATACAACAGGCTGCCTCTAAAAAGAAGAAAGATCTTAAGGTTGGAACTGCTGTTTGCTTTCCCTTCTAATCTTGTGAGCAGATTTGCATAAGAAAAGCAAGTAGATTCGAGTCTGGGTTTTTCTGTCTACATCGAAGGCATGAGTATCAGCCAGTACCCTCCATTTATTCAGAAAGAAAACGTTTGCTTTTGTAAGTCAGGTGAGGAGGAAATCCTTCAGTAAATTCAACTAGATTTCCCTAAAAGGAACAGGGGCTACTTATCAAGACTAAATGGAGTTTAGTTAAGTAATTATAATAGTCAAACAGAGAGTCCAAAAACTAAACCCTTCAGTTCCAGGTATGTTTCCTGATACTGTATACTTAGCTTTAAAACAACATCCAGAATTGGTATTTCCTGGATCTTGCAAAGCAGCCTCTTGTACTGCCAGGTACCCTTCTCACAGTTTCTAACAGCGTCAGCTTCACTCAGTGAGCAGAGCAGTGCTGGGTGGTGATGTGAGCTCTGGCTGTCTGACCAAGCGCGTGCCCCCAGCTCCAAGAGTGACACCTGGACCAAGCCAGGTAATTCTACCATAGAATAGGGATGTGGAGCCGTCCCTAAAAGAGTGCATGAAACATGCACTCAGTGTGTGCAATGTACTTTGAGATTCTTTTGGTGTGTAGAAGTGCAAGTTATTTTGTAGGAAGAGGGTTGAGGAGGGACGTTTTGGATCACAGGGTCAAGTCCCTTGCTGTGGGTGGTAACCACATCTCAGAAGCTGGTTCACAAACCAGTCAAACTCCATCTTCCAGCTGCTTTGGTTGCTTCCTGCCTGTGGAAGGCCTTTCTGGGTCCCCACTACTCTGATGGGGTGAAGCTGATTTCTATTTCCAGCCTGAATCCCTTCTTCATTAGTTTTTACCAAACGTTTCTCTTAACATTATTTTATCTGGGAGGAGGGGAGGGAAATTGTCTCATAATTTTAAGATTCATCTACATTTTCCTCTGAGCCCCAGGTACCTGGTGGAAAGACGCCAGCAATGCTGTAGGCTGGTTCGATGTACCAATAAAAATAAAATAAAATTAAAAAAAAAAAAAACCGACTAAGAAAAGCGCCATTCTTAGAAAGCCTCCAGCTTTCCAGCTCGAGCACAAACAGCTTCTTATTTGGGACTCTCCTCGGGTAAATCAACAGCCCCGGGGCGAAGGGGCCGCAGCTCTTGTGGTTTTGCGCAAACCCAGACCCCCCCACCCCCCGCCCCGAAAGCCGGGGGGGAACACGAGAGGGAGGGAGGGAAGGGGAGGGGAAGAGGGAACCATCCTCAAACCACTGCCGAGACCTCGGCCGAGGGGGGCCGAAGCCCCGCCGGGGAGAACCTGGGCGGAGGAACTCCCCGGGCCGCCGGTGCCCGCCCGCCCCGCCGGGGCTCTGCCCGCTCCCCCGGGAGGCAACGGCGGGGCAGCGGGGCCGCAGCACGGCTCGGCGGGGTGGCAGATCCCCGTTCTGCCCCTTGGCTCGGCTTTCCCTCTTCCCAGGGAACAGGAGTCTTTGCTGGAGCTGCGCTCCCGGGGGCCGGGGTCGATTTTTTCGTTTGTTTGCTTTTCACCTCCTGCCGCCGCCCTCCCTCCTTTTGCCCCGCACCGGCGGCCCCGAGGGCGGGCGGCGGTGGCGAAGCAGAGCGCTGCCGCCCGCCTCCTGCCCCCGGCGAGCCCCGGGCACGAAAAGGAGCAGTCAGTGGGGCCGAAACGGGGGCGAGCGAGAGGGATGCCAGGGCTCTTTCCCCTCCCCGAGGTGAGGGACGGAGGCAGTGGGTCCGTGTCCCCCGGCGGCCCGTGCCCTTGGTTCCCACGGGTGCAGGAGGTGCGCATCCCCCGGGGAGACGCGGGGCGGCGGCAGCTCCGTGCCCCCCCGCGGGGCGCCGCTTGTACCGCAGAGGTGCGGGCTGGAGCCCGGGGCCCGGTGGGCTATCGGGAAACGCCGTCTCCAGCCCCGCACCGACGAGCTGCCAGTCCGGGGCGACCCCTAAACATCTAAATCACCCCCAGACCCCCGGCCCAGTGGCGCTGAAGCAAAACCAACCAAAAGCCCTCGAAGCTCGGCACCCCCAAATGGAAGCAGAAAACCCCAAACCGAGCGAGCCAGCGGCACCACCACCGAGCAGTCCCGAAACGGCAGGGAGAGCCGCACCGGCATTTCCAGCCCGCGGCCGGCCGCAGGGGGCCAGGCTGCTGGTCCCCAATTTCTTCGAATTTAAGCCGATTCCCCGGCTGACAAGGGGACCGGGCTGGGGTTGAACCCCCGAGCCCCATTACATTGAAACCGCGAACAAACGGCTGCAGGTTAAGGTTCAGGTGAGCGGGAGCGCTCCCAGCAATTGCCGAGCGCTGCCGCAAAACTTGCGGGGGGCCGGGGAGCCTCGCAAGGAGGGGAAGAAACGGGAGAGCATCTCTCGAGGGCTCCCGGAGCAGCGGGGGGAGCAGGGGGAGCGGGGCACAGCTCCGGGGGGCAGCTCTGCCGGGACCCGCCGGGCTTTGCCCCGGGCGATCGGGCATGGAGCTGCAGCAACCTTTCCGGGAACAGGCTTCTAGCGGCTCACCGACGGCAGGGGGGTGGGGAAAATGGAATAAAAGGCTAAAGAAACAGCGCGATTTTGGGACCGGGACCAAATCCTAACGTGTTACATAAAAGCCACGGGCGGTTCTTATCAGCGAGCCCGGCCTGAAGAGGAACAATCCCCAGGAGCGGCTCCAAAACAACCGTGTTAAAGGAACAATTGTGAAATGCCAACTTCCCACCAGAGTATGAACAGCAGGAGCCGGGCATGTCCTGTCTGTAACCGGGCTTCTGACAACCAACAGAGAGAGGGAGGGGACGGGGGGGGATCCTCTCTTGACAAGATTTATCAAGAAACATTTAACTGGGCTTTAATCATATTAGCAAGAGCCCAATTAGGGCTGAGAGAGAAGCGAGGCGGCCGGCGGGCTGGGGAGAGGAGGAGGAGGAGGGAGGAGGAGGAGCGAGCGATGGAGTCACTCGAGGATAAAGTCCTTTCATCAGGCTGCGCTCTCGGCAAGCAGAGGAGTGCGAATAATCACTGCCCTTCACTGGGGGGACGGGGGAGGGAGCGGGCGGGGAATGTGTGTAAAGGATCATTAAGGCCAGGCAGAAGGGGGTTTTTGTTGTTGTTGTTGTTGTTTTTAATTATTACGGCTGTTAAGGCTGTTCAGGGCTTTCTCGGGCGCTGTTCTCAGGAACGGAGCGGGGAAGAAGCGAAGGGGCCCGGAGGCACCTGCTACACCGCCAAGACCTGCTCTGCCCGAGCGGGGAGGACTCCCCTTCCCGGGGCAAAGAGGGGCTCTGTCTTCCCCCCTCCTCCCCCTCCAACCTCCCCGAGGGAGAAACCCCTTGGCTGTCCTTCCCCACATTGCCTCTCCGCGATGCCGAGCGCTTCCCCGGCTCCATCCCTCCCCGTGGGGGGGTCCCGATGCCCTCTCCCCACTGGCCCCCCTCGGCAGCGCGGCCCCCGGCGGACGCCAGCCCGGTGGCCAGGACCGGGGGGCTCCGCCGAAAGCCCTTGGGAGAAGCGAGGCGCTGGGGACACCCGGGACAGGGCCACGGGGCGGAAGGTGACTTCCCGGGGGGGCTCAGATTTTCCGCTCGCCTCCGCCCCTTGCTTCAGCACGGGCAACCTGCCCCGTCCTTAGGGACTCGCCCTCTCCAGCTGTCGGGGATGGGGAGGGCGCACGGCAAAGAAATAAAGCAAGCCCAAAGCTGACAGGTGGGGCAGGAGGGAGAGGCTGGGGGAGGCGATGTCGTGTCGTGTTCCCCCCCCAACCTTCGCCCTCTCTCCCCCCCACAGATTGCGGCACCTCGGGACGCCCCGGTGGGAGCACGGCAGCGGCGCTGGGCGCCGCGGGGAGCCGAGGCGGCCGTGACCCTGCCCGCGGCTTTCGAGACATGGCCAGCAGCTGCCAGCAGCCGCTCCCCGCAGGATGGGGGAGATAAGGCTGTTGGGCAACGCCACACCTTTCGCCCAAGAGGAGCAGGGTCTTTGGACGGCGGGGCAGAAGCTGCTGGCTTTTTTTTTTTTTTTTTTTTTTTTTAATACACAACAGGGCTTGGGGGTGGGGGTGATGTTTGCCATTAGCACCGATGAGCATCCCCGCTGTCAGAAGAGACCCCCCCAGACCCCCCAGCACCGAGGGGCTCTCCCCCCTCTCCCTCCTCCCTGCCGCAGCAGCCCCTTCCCCCGCCACCCCGTGCCCCTGTTTGTCACCTTCCCTACCACTCTTACCTTGCCGGCCCGGCCGTCGAGGGTCTCTCCCCCCACCCCAGCCCCGTCTCCCGCCCCCCGCCCCGCCGCCGCCAGCCCCGCAGCGGGGCTGTCGCACGCCGCCGCGCCGGCAGGGACCCGGCTCTCGCCTCTCTCGCTTCTCTCGGCTGGCGCTGGCAGCCCCGCCGGGTTCATGCGAGGACAGCGGCGGCTCCGAGCCGCGGCTCGTCTGGCTGCCAACGCCGCGGCGAGGCTGATGCTGCCGCCGCGGCCGGGGGGTGACTCAGGGCGGCCCGCGGCAGCCGCTGATTAGCGGATCAGAGAGCCGGGCACGTCGCGGCCGCTCCCCGCCGCCTTCCCCCGGTCACATCATGCTGCCCCCACACCTCCCTGTCCCCCACCGCGGCCCTTCCGAGCCGGGGGAGAGCCCCGCCGGCACCCCGGGGGTCCGGCCCGCGGCCGGCAGCGCTCCCGGAGGCTCCCGCCTCAACGTAAGTGACCGCGGCGGGTGGCCATGTTGTGAGGGGCCCGGGGCGGGGGGGGACCGTGCCCCCGGGGCAGTCTGCGAGGGGCTGCGCCGGGTGACAGCGGCTGGTTCGCTCGGGTGGGCCCGAGGATGGATGAAAACCGCCTCCCCGTCCTCGGCTGCGTCCTTCGGGGCGCTATCCCCCCATTCCAGGGGGTAACAAAACAGGGGTGGCATCTAAAGCTGCTCCTGGCCGCTGCTTTGTGGGGATGGTCTCCAGACAGGGTCCCCATCTCTGCCTCCGTGCCCCAGGCAGCGTCCTCGGCATTCATTTGGGCACAGAGAAGCTCAAAACGGGTGGGGGAGGAAGCGGGGGGACCTGGAAAGAGCTCTGGGGTCGTCGTCAGGGAAGATGGTGAGCCTCGGCGCGAGGCGCATTCGATGATCTGCCGTGTTTAGCAAACAGGCTGCCGAGTTGTAGCTGCATGTGGTTTCCATGGAGTCCCCATGGCACGTCCCGGCTAGAACATGCTGCAGATGTCCTCACGGGGAGCGTGTTTTCCCGCTTCTCTTCAGAGATTTGTGTGGTCACGTTTCACGTCCTCTGCACCACCCTTGAGAAGCATGCTTTGTGCATGGCATCTTTGTTCTGAAAAATGTTTTTGAAGAGAAGCTGTGGCAAAGTACATCTTCCTGTCCACGCTTGTACCAGTTGTACATACAGCTCTCAAAGCTCCAAAAGCCGTGCCTTCCTGAAATTAAGAGAATATTGAAAGCACGTTTATTAAGAAACTCAAGCCATGAAGGTTACTGGAAATGAGTGTTATGTTCTCTGGATACACAAACGAGTTTTGGATGTAGAAAGAATGCATGACTGGGCCTGTACTTAAAAATACTCTGAAGCTACTTGTCAGAAAAGTGCTAAAATGATAAGCCGTGGACTTGTGGACAGGGATCATCTTGTCAGTGCTTCGACTTGAAGTTCATTTTAAGTCCAAATTTCAGTCCTTTGAGAAAAAAAGAGTAGGAGTAGGAAGAGGCTATTATAATAGAAATGCTGACATTGCTAACTGTGGCAGTGTGAATTCACTACTATAATAAGACCTCAGCTAGCAGCCTAATTCCAAAGAGGTGATGTTATCCAGTAATAATGTAATCAGTTTGTTGGCTGTAACATAGGAAGCTGGGAATTGGTCTAATTTATTGCTATTTTTGGCCAAAATTAAAAAAACAAATAAAATCTATATGATGCCAGGATTGAGGCAGAAGAGCTACCTTTGCTGTTTAAAATAATAAAGCAGAGTTCTACTTGAACATTTTGCACTTCGACACAGTTTTACAAAAGGATATTTAAAAAGGGACAGTTAGTGAGAATGCAAGCTTTCAAGCTAGGGAGGGATTGGAGGATGGAAAGGCCCAAGGGTGGAACATTGTTAGAAGTTTTCAGAGAGGTCCCAAAAGCACAATGTTCACTTAACAAAATAGAAGTTTTCTCTTGGGTAATTGCTGAATGAGTTTGCATTGATTTGCAGCTGCGAATTTCAAGGAAAAAAGAAGGAAAGAAAAGAAATGAAAAAGACAAATGCCCTGTTAGTAGTTTAGCTTTATGCAGCAAGCATTAAAAAAAATGCATCTGATATAATAAAAGTTGAAAGCGACCATATAAACTTTTGAGTTTATATATTCAGTATTTTCCAGCCATTGCGTCTTTCTTTGGGTAATTATTTCTAAGAAATAAAAGTTCTGAAAGCTTTATAGTCACTTTTCTTTCAAATTAGGAATAACAACACAAGTGAGATTAACTTGTAAGGCATATGAATCAGTGAAACCTTATGTGAAATCTTCTGCAGCAGGTCAGTCAGTGATGTTAGTGAGGACAGAATTTCACCCAGAGTGAATGTGGTGTTATTGAAGGAAATTGCAAGGATATAGACAGACCATGTTATCCATCTAGTCCAGGCTTGGACTTTCCTTTTGCTCCTGATGGAGTTCCTTACATTTAGTCTGAAATGCACTGAGGTCAGTGGGAATCTTTGGGTCGGGGTCATGAATTCTTTGAAGGATCAAATCTTAAGTTTCTTTACATTCTAGGAAGCTCAACAGTATCAACTCTGAGATAATTACTAAAGCATGTGAAGATAGTTAAAACAAAGTAAGTAATAAGTGAAGCCAAATCATAACTGTCATTTTAGCAGAGCATTATGTAAATAACAGAACCCTACAAGAATACTCGGGTGTGTCTGAGTCAACCAGTTCTGGAAATCCTGTGATATGCAGCTGCAGAAACTACACAAATTCTTGAAAAATTGTCAACGAAACCTGAAAGGACCCTAAGGGGTTTTGATACAAATTTGCTGAAATTTCTTGAAAATCATGGTTCCTGAGTTATATTCAAGCTCTGTTCTGCTTATAAACAAACCACATGTTGTTCAATAACTCTTGAAAATAAGGCTAAAACTGCTACAGTGACTACCTTGTTCATCTGATCTTAAGGCAACATTAACCCTCTTTTTAGACTTGACATTTAACAAAGTGTTATAAATATTATAACCGTTTGTGAATGTGTATACTCTGCGCTGTGGAAAATCAGGCTGGCATTTGCTGTTAGGCTTACATCTAAAAACTTATGAGTTAATTTGCATTATATGGCCATTGGCACTGCAGAGTGACAAGTTGGAAGAGGTATTTTGAGAAATGTGAACAGTTCCAGAGTTGCCCTTAAGCACCTGTTTGAAGTGAGAAAGCAGATGTGATATAATGGTAGCTGTTTTGTTTTTATTGTGGAGGATAATACCAGCCTGTGATTACTGATTGGATGTGAAATAAAATTTTATGGTTGTATGAGTGGACATAGCATGTTAGAAATCAAACAGGGTGCTAGGGGAAGCACAGCATATTAGCTCTTTAAAAAGAATCAAAGTACAGTTAATCACTGTTTCTGAAAACACAAAAATAAGAGGGTACTGATTAAAATGCTCAAATTCAGAATTAAGTCTACAAGAATGAGTAAACTGCAGAGCTCCATTTCCATAGGATCAGAAAAAATCATTGAGGATATTCATATATGGTTATAGGGTATGGTAGTCTGGATACTGACTGCCATATATGAAGTTCCAAACCCTCTAATTGATGAAAATTATAAGATCATACAAGTTAGGGATTGCTCCAGACCATGTATTTTTACATTTTTTTTTTCCATAAGTATCAAGTTCTGGTCACCACAGAGAGATTACGTTGGCCCGTTATAGACATTTTGTCTTCCTTCATGCATTGGGTAGGGTGCGTTTATCCTGGACAAAACTAAGCTGGAGCTAGGACAAAGCTGGAAAGAAATCCCTGAAAGTTTAAAAACGGTAAAGAAAACAAAATAACTGACCCCCCAAAGAAGGTACTTATTATCTAGCAAAATCACCTACCCCCAAGCCTGACAAGAGCATGTATGCGTTTCTACTCTGGAAATCATGAAATCACAGTTCAGGGTGTATGTATGTAACCTGAACTTGTATGTTATCTTTCAGACAATATGTGGACCTAGAGCTTCTATACTGACATCTTTTTCTGCTTTCTTTTTCACTCATTTATTCTTTGCTTTTCAGACAGAAAATCCTTCCTGCAGCGTGGGCCAGGTTATACTGGATGCCTCATACAGGGCAGTATCTTATTCCATGCATGACTTACTCATGTTGCAAAAGCAGGGTGAGTAATGGGTGCTGGAATTTAGCTCAATGTTACATTTTGCATCTTGGGTTTCTGTAAAAGGTTCATGAAGCTCACAGACCACTGCTAGTATTTTTTCTATGCTTCTGCTCCTTTTTATTTATTTACTTGTTTGTTTGTTTGTTTATTTATTTATTTATTTATTTTCCAGAGACCTTCTCTGGTCCTGGAGAACTTTAAAACTTTGCAAAATGTTGCAGAATTATATCAAAATGCTCCATGCACTATACAAACACATAGGGTGTGTTTGTGATGCAAAGTGGGAAAGACCAGAGTTTGACTTGGCATGATCCCTTATGGTTCTAGGCCCGTGGGTTAGTAAAGGTTTGCAGCAGCTTCAGGTCTTAGGTGTGTATCAGGTTTGCAGAGGAGGAGCAGTGCTGGACTATTCACATTGCAAGTGGGACGTTTTATATGATGCCCTGCAGCATCAGACAAGGAGAACAATTGCTTCCATGTACCAGATGTTCTTGAGTCAAGTCCTGTGATGCTGCAGGACTACAAGTATAAGAGCAAACTTGCAGTAAAAAAGAAGGTCTCCAATGCACTAAGTTGCTGATGTAGCATGCACAATAAGAAATAGTCCCGGTCCAGATTTATCATTTGGGAGTACGAGCAAGTCAGATAAAAAGAGTATCAGAAAGAGGTTAAAAAAAAAAGCTTACAAAATCGCAAGCAACTTGTTATCTGATCTGGAAACAGAATGGAGGGGGTGTCTATAGCTGAATTTTAATTGTACTGTCACTTAATGTGAGTCCACACAATTCTTGTCAGACTTTGGGCTGTGGGTATCCTTACTGATAATTCTGCAGCCCTAGAGTGTTCCTGGGGCCTGAGGAGAGCTAGTGTACAAGGGTGTATTTGCCTAGGGATCTTTATTCGGGGCAAAGAAGTGATAACAGAAGTTGTTAATCGTTGCTTTACAGGTAAAGGTTAGGGCTTGCTGTGCAAGCAAGTCTCTTCTGCTCTGTTCCAGTTCAAAGTCAATCCATCTAGCTGAAACCAAGAAAAGATGTTAATATAGCTAGAGTTTGGTCTCAGAGGATGAGAAGGAGAAGAGGAGGAGGAAGGCAGGCATCTGGATAGGTACACAGGAACGGCAAGTCTGTTGGGTCAAGCCTCAGCTTCAGACCCAGAGGGCGCATGCAGTGCTGAGTACTAATCAGATCACAGTCAATTGTGATAAAGGGTCGGATGCTTTCCAGGATAAGTTGGACATTTAGTTTGTGTTTCTAACCAGTCAATAAAGCTCAAACAACGCTCTTCTAGAAATTTACTTTGTATTAAAATTGCCCGATTCTTATGTGTCTAAGTCTATATTTGGATGTGAGTTGTAGGACCTTGGGGATATATGTAGAGTTCAGTTAAATTTTGACACAGGAGCAACTGCATTTTTTTCCTTTTCATTTTCCTAATCTGTAAACAAGCTTTTGTGTAAGACTCCTGGCACTAAAAGTCTGTTTGAAATTGAGTTGTGGAAGTGCAAGAGTTCATAACCCTTCTTTTGCAGAAGCTCAGTCAATGCAGGCTGAGTACTAAGTGACTGACGTAAGGATAGGTGGCAAGGTCTTCCTTAGCTACTTGGGTAGAGTCTGAGGAGACAGAAGCATTGCTGCCAGCTACATGACAAAGGACATGGGTTTTGCAAACAACATGCTCCTTGTATCTCTGCCAGGAAGAATTGATGAGACACTTCCAATATAAAGAATCAAATAGAATTGAATCAAATAGAATAGAAGCAAGGTCAGGCAATGTAGGAGGACTACAGAGATGCTATACATTATTGTAGGGAAAAAAATCACACAGCCAAAGCTCAATTAAAGTTGCAGCTGACACCAAAAAGGGCTTTTTAAAGAATGTTAACAGCAAAAGGACCAGAAATAACATTACTGGTCCATTACTTGATTAAGATGGTCACCTCATAAATAGGGATGTAAATAAAGCAGAGATGTTTAATGCCTTCTTTGCTTCTTTCTTTAACACTGATGATAGGCCTTGGGACCCCTGGAGCCCTGAGTTGGAGAGCCATCACTAGGGGAATGATAAATTCCCATCTGACTCTGAACTTCTTTGGGATTTGCTGCTCTACCTAGATGCATATGAGTGTATAGGGCCTGGTGGTATTCATTCTGATGTTACTGCAAGACCTCTCTTAATTATTTTTCAATGGTATTGGGAATCTGGAGAGGTCTCAGTTGACTGAAAGCTTGCAAATGTTGTTCCAATTTTCAAGAGGGATAAGAAAGAAGATCCTGTCAATTATAGGCCAGTCAGACCCACGTCAGTGCCTGGTAAAAGATGCAGAAGGTTATCCTGGGAGTTACTGAAAAACACTTGAAAGACAATGCAGTCATTGGTCACAGACAACATGGGTTCACATGGGGAAAGACTTAATTAACTTAATTTCATTTTATGACAAGGTTACCAAGGCTTTATGACTAGCTGGCCCAGGGAATCCAGTAGGTGTGCATCTATTTATTTATTTATTATTTTTATTTTTTATTTATTTTAGCAAATTTTTTGATACCATCTCTCACAGTATTCTTCTGGACAAGATGTTCAGCGTACGTCCAGACAAAAACATAATGTGATGGGTGAACAATTGGCTGAATGGTTGCGCTCAAAAGGTTATAGTAAATGGGGTTACATCAGGCTGGTGGCCAGTTATTAGTGGGGTTCTGCAGAGCTCCATTTTAGGGCCTGTTCTCTTCAATGTTTTTATAAATTACTTGAACACGGGATTCAAATGCAGACAAAGTAAGACTGCAGATGACACTAAATTAGGAGGGACTATTGGCTTCCTCGAGGTAGAGAGGCATTGCAGAGAGATCTTGACAAATTAGAGGGCTGGGCAATTACCAAGAATATTAATTTTAACAAGAGCTAGTGCTGGATTCTGAACCAGGGACGGGACAACCCTGGTTGTAGGTATAGACTGGGGGCTGAGAGGCTGGAGAGCAGCCCCATGAAAAGAGGTCTGGGGGTTCTAGTTGACAGCAAGTTGAACATGAGCCAGCAGCGTGCCCTGGCAGCCAGAATGGCCAACTGTACCCTGGGGTGCATCACGCATGGTGCTGCTGGCCGGGTGAGGGGAGGGACTGGCTTGCTCTGAGCTGGTGCGACCTCACCTCTAGCACTGGGGTAATCTAGGGCACCACAATATGAGAAGGACATAAAACTATTAGCAAGTGCCTAAAGAAGGGCTACAGAGATAGTGAATGGGAGGATGTACGAGGAGTAGTTGAGGTCCCTTGGTTTGTTCAGCCCCGAGCAGAGCAGGCTGAGGGGAGGCCTCATGGCGGCCTGCAGCTCCCTCACGAGGGGAGTGGAGGGGCAGGCGCTGAGCTCTGCTCCCTGGGGACAGCGACAAGACCCGAGGGGACGGCATGGAGCTGGGACAGGGGAGGGTCAGTCTGGTTGTTGGGAAAACGTTCTGCACCCAGAGGGTGGTCAGGCACTGGGACAGGTTCCCCAGGGAGGTGGTCACAGCACTGAGCCTGCTGAAGTTCAAGAAGCATTTGGATACCACTCTCAGGCATGAGGTCTGATTTTTGGGTGGTCCTGTGCAGAGCCAGGAGTTGGACTTGATAATCCTTGTGGGTCCCTTCCAACTCAGGATATACTATATTGTAATGAATAGAATAGAACAGAGTAGAGTAGAGTAGAGTAGAGTAGAGTAGAATAGGATAGGATAGGATAGGATAGGATAGGATAGGATAGGATAGGATAGGATAGGATAGGATAGGATAGGATAGGATAGGGTAGGATAGAATAGTTCAATTGGAAGGGACCTGCAAAGATCATCAAGTACAACTGCAATATGCTTTGTTATCCAAACACTTTCTCAGGCTTAGCTTCAAACTCTTCAGCCTGAGAATGGATTCAGCAGCAGGTATTAGTGCTTAGCGGTTCACTAGGTTCAACTTTTGAGACTAATGGAAGAGCTTTCTATTGCAAGCCTTTACTTTTTTGTTTATTTAGTATGCATGGATGGCTGCCACTGGCTTAATATGTTAACAGTTATTTAGAGAATGGTCTGGTAAAAACTTTAGTTCATGTATGGATTATGAAATGCATCACTCACTTTATGTTAAGATTTCATTTATGTGGTTTTCCTAAGTAACAAATGGCTCTTGCAGAGTTTGTTACACATGTGAGGAGCATGTGGTATAAGTGGTTATAAATACACCAGTAAAAAACATTCCAGAGAATTATAAATCACTGTAATATGCAACTCCAGTGGTTTGATGAATAATATCTTTATTAACATATTAACCACTTATCAGAATGATTTGTGTAGTACTTAGACTTAATTTTATGTTCAGTGTATATTTTCTATAAAGCCTGAGTTTGTTTTCTTTTGCCAGAAGTATTTATTTCTGAGTCAAAACTCAGCCTCTTTTGCAAAAAGGAGGAAAATCAAAGAGGCATGATAATCAGCCTAAACCCATCTAAAGTGCTTTAAAAATAGCCAGCCCACCTACTGCATCGGGAGATTATACAGTGCAGCATACAGAAGCACAGTGCAGAGTAGCTAAGGAACTGCGCAGTATGCAAGCTTTCAAAACATACCTGAGGCAGAAGCTCTCTAACCGGTAACAGATTTGCTCCTGCCAGGCCTTTTGCCTCTCACATCCCCAGTCCCTTACTGCTTGGTGCCCAGAATATTTAGTTCTGCTGTCCATGAGAAATGGTGTTACCCAGATTTTTGTTTCCTAATCGATGGCTTATAGTGGAGAGAGCTGTAGCAGGAGGAGGTTGAGAAGAGAGAGACGGCATTGCTGTTAAGTCACTGGTGTGGTGGGCGGTGGTGCACCAGAGTTGTCGCTTGGGCTGTTACACAGATGGCCTGTGTAAACTTGAGTAAAATTCTAGCAGCTAGGTCTGCAAAGGGATATAGGCATGCCACTGCCCTGTGTGGGCCTTGCTAGGCTCCACAAAGCCATGCCTAGCTGTCATATAATTTTGTAAGTGTCTAG